ATACAAGGCTGATTTAAGATTCATAAATCAATTAATATCAAAAAAGATCCTATTATTATTTCCTTAAAAGCAGAGAAAGCCTTTGGAAAAAAGTCAACATATATTCATCATAAAGTGCTCAGAAAGACAGGGATTAAATAATATGTTCTTAACATAATTGAATGTGTATGCCTTATGCCTAAACTCAGTTTCTTGTTTAATGGGAATACACTATAGGGAATTCTAGCATTGGAAATAAGGCAAGGATGCTCACTATCCACTGCTTTTCAACATTGTATTGGAGGTATTAACTGATATAATTAGATGACAGAAATCAATTGCAAGTTGAGCATCCCTAACCTGAAAATCCAAAGTTGGAAATGCTCCAAAATCTGAAACTTTTTGAGTGCTCACATGATGCTACAAGTGGAACATTCCACACCTGACGTCATGTGATAGGTTGCAGTCAAAATACAGGAGCACCATATGGTTTATTCAGCATCCCCAACAGAAAAGAGACTCTCCCGGCCCCTTTGAGCTGTGATATATCTTTTCTGTAAATGCCCAGATCACCCCCAACAAGCGTGTCTGTAAAGGGTAATAAAATGGCACCTATGCAGGCTGGATGCACCAAAGGCAGGTTCCCCACAATCCCCATATGGGGCCAAGACCTATGTGCATTACTCACTGTGGTTTTTTTGTTTGTTTATTTTCTGCTCTGTTTTAAAGATATTGTTGGAAATGCCAAAAAGATACCCCTATGAGTAACAGCGATAAGAAAAAAAAGAAGCACTTACACTTATCTATAGCACAGAAAGTCATGCCGTTGGAAAAATTGGGTGACGGTGAAAGTGCAAAATGCCTCACAGAACGATACTGTGTGGAAATACCACCACGCCAGACCTGAAGAAACAGATGGATAATCTGTTGAACTTCTGTGCTAAAAGCGATGAACAGAAGTTAACGAAAAATAGAAAAACATTGCAAAGCTGAAAATGAAGATCTTGATCACGTATTGAAGGAGTGCATCCATCAGCATTCGAGTGAGCATAGGTCACTTAGTGGCCTGCTTATCATGAAACAAGCAAAATCTAGCACAGTGAACTGAAAATTGAAGGGAACTGTGAATATTCAGCAGGCTAGTTGAAGATTTAAGAGAAGACACAGCATTAAGTTTTTTTTGAGACAGAGTCTCACTCTGTTGCCCAGGCTAGAGTGTAGTGGGGCGATCTTGGCTCACTGCAACCTCCACCCGCCGGGTTCAAATGATTCTCCTGCCTCAGCATCCTAAGTAGCTGGGATTATAGGCGCCTGCACCTCCCCCGGCTAATTTTTGTATTTTTAGTAGAGACTGGGTTTTACCATCTTGGCCAGGCTGGTCTTGAACTCCTGACCTCATGATCCACCCATCTGGGCCTCTCAAAGTGCTGGGATTGCAGGTGTGAGCCACTGCGCCCCACCCGAGCATTAAAATTTTTAAAGATTGGTGGTGATATGGGGCCAAGCGCAGTGGCTCACGCCTGTAATCCCAGCACTTTGGGAGGCCGAGGCAGGTAGATCACGAGGTCAAGAGATCGAGACCATCCTGGTCAACATGGTGAAACCCCGTCTCTACTAAAACTACAAAAAATTAGCTGGGTATGGTGGTGCGTGCCTGTAATCCCAGCTACTCAGGAGGCTGAGGCAGGAGAACTGCCTGAACCCAGGAGGCAGAGGTTGCGGTGAGCTGAGATCGCGCCATTGTACTCCAGCCTGGGTAACAAGAGCGAAACTCCACCTCAAAAAAAAAAAAAAGAAAAAAAAGATTGGTGGTGATAAAACATCTGCTGATCATGAAGCAGCAGAGAAATTCACTAACTAGTGTGCCAAGGTTATTGCTGATGAAAATCTAACAGCAGAACAAGTCTATAATGCTGATGAAACATGACTGTTTTGTTGTTATTACCCCAGAGATGCATTGACTACAGATGGTGAGACAGCCCCAACAGGAATTAGGGATGCCAAGGACAGAGTAACTATGTTGCAATGTGCTCGTGCAGCAGGCACATGTAAGTATAAACTTGCTTGTGACAGGCAAGTGAAAAGCTTGCTGTTTCCAAGGAGTGAATTTTTTACCAGTTAATTGTTCTGCTAACAAAAAGGCAGGGATCATCAGGGACAGTTTTTCTAATTGTTTCACAAACGTTTTGTACAAGTGGCATGTGCTCACTGCAGAGAAACTAAGGACTATAAGATTTTGTTATTCTTTGATACCTATTTTGCTCATTCCCCAGCTGAAATTTTCATCAAAAATGTTTGTACTGGCTGGGCACAGTGGCTCATGCCTGTAATCCCAGCACTTTGGGAGGCTGAGACAGGTGGACTACCTGAGGCCTGGAGTTCGAGACCAGCCTGGCCAACATGGTGAAATCCTGTCTCTACAAAAAATTCAAAAAAATTAGCTGGGCGTGGTGGTGGGTACCTGTAATCCCAGCTACTCGGAAGGCTGAGACGGGAGAATTGCCTGAACCCGGGAGGCAGGGGTTGCAGTGAGCTGAGACTGCACCATTGCACTCCAGCCTGGGTGACAAAGCAAGACTCCATCTCAAAAAAAAAAAAAAAAAAATTGTGTTCCATGTACTTTCTTCCAAATGCGACTTCATTAATTCAGCCATGTGACTGGGGTATCCTTAGATCCATGAAAAGTACATATAAACATACTTTCTTAAACAGCATTCTAGCAGAACAGAGGTGTGGTAGTGGAAGGTTTTCACACGGAGTTTAGCATGAAGGGTACCATATATGTTGTTGTCAAAGTTTGGAAGACAGTGACTAAAGACACAGTTGTACATGCCTGGCACAAGCTTTGGCCTGCAACTACGTCCAATGATGATGATGAACGAGGTGGTAACTTTGAAGAATTCCCTAGTCAAGTGAGAAAACAATGATATCTGACTTCATTACCTGTGCAAAAGAATATTCCTTAAGAGTGTCAATAAGCTGAAAAAAGTGGATATTGAAGATTTTT